TTTTTTTAAAAAAATTTAGTTATACTATAATATTTCTTTTTCCATTATTTTAACCAGTCTGCATTATTACATTAAAGTGAGTTCCTTCTATACAACCTATAACTCTTTCTTTTTAAAAATGCAATTCGATAATATTTGCCTTTTAATTGGAGTTTCTAGCCCATTTATATTTAACATAATCATTGATATAATTTTGTTCAAATCTACCATCCTGGTTTTGTTTTCTGTTTGTCCCTCTCTTCTTTTTTCCTTTCCCCCTMTTTTTCTGTGTATTTTAGGATTAATTGTATGTTTTTGTAATATCATTTATCTCTGTAATTTAATTAGTAACCATATTGCTTGATTTTATTATTCCTGTGGTTGCTGGGCTTAAAATATACATCTTTAACACTACAGTCTATCTTTAAATACTATTACACTACTTATTGCATATCATTATCCTTACCATAATTTCTCCTTTATTGTCCTTTGTGCTTAGTCATACATTTTACTATTACATGTGTTATAAGTCCTACCTTGTTATTTATTTTGCTTTAAATAGTCAATTATCTTTCAAAAAGAAATTTAAGGGGCTGGGGTTGTGGCTCAGTGGTAGAGCACTCACCTAGCATGTGCAAGGTGCTGGGTTCGATCCTCAGTACCACATAAAAATAAATAAATACAAGAAAGGTATTATCTAAGGTTGTCTTTAATTTTTTTWAATTAAAATAAGCCTCTTTTATATTTATACACATACTTACCATTTCTGGTTCATTTCATTTTTTTGTGCATATTTACAGATTCCCATCTGGGATAACTTTCCTTCTGCTTTATCATTTCCTGTATCACAGATCTAAAATAATGCAGATGATAATTCCTTTAGCTTTTGATTTTCCTCCAGGAGTCTTTTTCCCACTTTTTTTTTTTAGTTGTTGTTTGTTTTGGTACTAGAGGATTGCACCCAGGGGTGCTTTATCACTGAGCCACATTCCTAGCCCTTTTTATGTTTTATTTTGTGATAGAGTCTCACTATGCTGCTGAGGGTCTTGCTAAATTTCCGAGGGTAGCTTCAAACTCTTGATATTCTTGCCTCAGCCTCCCAAGCTGCTGGGATAACAGGTGTACTCCACTGTGCTCGACCTCACCTTGATTTTTTAACAATATTGTCATCAGTTAATTTTTTTTCCTTTGCTTCTTTAAAGATGCCCTCCATTGTTTTCTGGCTTGCATAGTTTCTAACAAGATAACTCTTGTACTTTATTCCTCTTTAGTAATTTTTCCTCTTTTTACCACTTAAGATTTTCTCCCCTTTTCACTGTTTTTCAGCAACTTTATTGATGACTCTTTGTATGTTTTTGTTTATATTTCTTGTTCTCTGAAGTCATGGAACTTCTAGTGCCTAGAGTTTTTATCAAATTTGGAAGTTTGTCAGCCATTTTTTCTTCACATTTTTTTTTCTTTTTTCCATTCTTGTCATTTTGATTACTCATATGTTAGACCATTTGATATTATCCTACAGGTCACTGAGAGAGTGTATTTCTTTCCCTGACCCCCACCCCACTTTCTTTTCATTTTGGATAGTTTTTATTGCTATGTCTTTATTTGCTAAGCCTCTAAGTTCAAAGATCTTTTCTTCTTCAGAGACTTTTCTGTTATTTCCATCCTAATCAAAATTTAAACATGTTTTTTTAAATTAGATGTTGACAAGCGGCTTCTAAAATTTATGTGGAAAATCAGAGGATTTAGAATAGCTGTTAATTCTATTCAATGTATTTTTCATTTCTGTTCTTGTATTTTTCTTCAGTAGAAGTTCCATTTTATGTCTCCTATTTCTCTCCTTGTCGTATTTGTTTTGTTTATTTTGCTTTGATGTTATTAAGCACATTTATAATATGGTTTCAACATCTTTGTGTACTAATTCCATCATCTCTGTTATCTCTGGACGTTTCTAGTTACTAATTTTCTCCAAGATAAATCCTTTTTTTTTCCTTCTTCTTMTTTGTATGTATGTTTATTTTTTGTTGGATACCAAGCACTTTGAGTTTTAAATTGTTTTGTTTTTTAGATTTTGTGACATTTTATTTTAATAGTACTGTACTTTGTTCTGGTGCACAGCTGAGTAATGTAGGACTCTGTGGATCCTTTTAAGACTCTCTTTTAGYTTTTGCTAGAGGGTGTCCAGAGCAGAATTTCACATATTTAGCCCTAGAACTAAGATGACACACTTCTGAGGAGTCTGCCTAGTGTCCATATATCCCACCATCTCTCCACTCTTTCTTGGTAGGAATACAAATTCCCAGCTCTTCTGGAACGCTAGGTATTMTTCTTCTTAGTGTTTTCTGGTAATTTTCCTTCACACGTGTACAGACTATCACTCAGCCAAAGACTAGAGGAAACTTTATGCAGAATTCCAGAGCTAGTGACTGTGCTGCCTTCTGCCTTCCTTTCTTCCAGGCTCCCTTCTCCTTCC